TAAGTGTTGGTCATTATTATTACCCCATTAACACTTAGCACAGCCAGATCATAGTAAACTCAACAATAATCCACTAACGGAGTGAAATATACAATAGTTTTATGCTTATTTATCCTTATTCACAAATGCAAATCGTTTGGACATACCCCTGTAGCCGACCTCCAGCGGGCTTGGGCTTGGTGAATTTCAAATCCCTGCAGGCTGAGTTTCTGGGAGGACACGAGTGTGGGGCTGCGCTCCAGGAACACGGCTGGGTTGACTTCCTCTTTCTCAAAGTGTCCCCTAGACGAGCACTCCGCAAAACTTCCTGAGTCTCTGAACCACCTAGGGCATTTACCTCTTACTCAGATCTCCTTGCTCAGACAAATATGCACAGGCTTGAGGATTTCTCTGGAGCTTTAGATTTTTCTTTCAGCCAGAGGTCCCCCGGTTACATCGGTGACCGCACCTCTGCCCATAGCTTGATGAGACTGTTAGGGGCTGCAGGCTGCTGCGCCCGCCCTGCGCTTTCTGATTCTAAGGTCTGTTCCATTTGTTTATTTAAACACGCCCCCCTGGTGTCTTCTGATGTGCGCCAGGTTTGAGACCCTCCGCTTTTCCTAAAAAGCCCCAACTGCTTCCACCTCGCACCAGGAGGTACCACTTCATGCAGCCTGTGGGCAAGCATCTCCCCATACACAGAAAAGGAGGGCGCATTCCTGCTCCCCAAAAAGACCCACGCCAGTCCCGGACGCGGCTGAATGTGAGGTAGGGATGAGCGCACGTCCGAATCAAGCTTGTGCTTTCTGTCTTCTAGGAGCTCAGGAAGGCCAACAGGGAGGTCCCGATCATGACGACTCAGCAAAGGCTATGCCTGTAACAAACACGAGGCCGGGACAGGGAAGACATGGACGTGCAGGCCCACAGCAGGGCCGCGGCTCGCTCTCCCGGGGGACCCGGCCACGATTTTGTGCTCTGCGATCCGGGGGGCCTGTCTCAAAGTGAAGCCAAAAGTGAATCTTGCCAACCATGGAAATCAGCAAATTCACACACAGTGGCCACCAAATAAATCCTTTTAAAATCAAACTAAACGGAGTCAAATTCACTATCCAGAGAAGGGCTTAAAAACAAACCACAAACCTGTTAAGACACAGGATGTCCTTTGGAAATGGCACATTTGCTGGAATTTCACGAGATTCTGCACCTTTGAGGGGCAGAAAGAAATCCAAGGAGGAAGAAGGCAAGGTCTGCCTTTGTTTCAAAGAGGGACTCCTGGTGGGTAAGTGGGAGCCCGAGGGAAGCTTGCAGGGAGGGAGGCTGGCAATAGCACTTGCCAGGGGGGCCCTAGCAAAGGCCACAGGCTGCTGAGAATGTCTCCTGGTTTCACTGTTTCGGGAAACTATTTGCAAAGCTAGCTGGATTCATTCCAGATGGCCCCAGTGGTGTGGTTGGGGAAACTATTAAAAGTTGGAAAAGAGCCAAAAATAGCCATTGGGTCTTGAAGATACCTGGTGAAGGAGGCTGGACGCTCCGAGGGGCGCCCCAGAGCTGCCGTGGGAAACACGTAGGCGAGGGGAGGCCACAGGGAGGCCCCAGGGAGGCCACGGGGGCCACAGTCCTTTGAGAGCAGCCTTTCTCATCCTGCTTCTACAAAAGATGTCAGCTTCACAGACACTTTTTCTGACTATTTTGTTAATTCTTCCCACGATGGGACATAACCAGTACTGAGATGCTCCGGAATAAAGTCCACTCCCCACAAGCCTGATTGACAGGACTGCAGGCTTCCAGATTCTGGGCTGAGGGAGAGATCCAGGCAAACAGCACCCAGGAAAGGTGAATCCTGACTCCCAACTGGTGTTAGGGCAAAATTCACCTGAGCGGCAGAGGCCGGAAAAGGGGAGAAGAACCCCAAGCACCAGCGGGTGTGCAATTGAGTTAAAAGTTACAAGAAAGAACTCTTGCAGTCAAGAGATGATGAGGAAGCAACAGGCATAGGGCACACGTTCTGGTTTTCTGCTTATTTAACTGGAAGCAGATCTGCCCATAGAGTGCACATGCGTGTGTGCACGCACACGCACAGAGTCCCAGCACTCAAGGCAAACTGGCCACAGGCCAAGAGAGCCATCCCAGACCCTCCAGCTGCCTCCCATTGTGTCCTCTGGAAAACCAGCTCTACACACAGACTGTAACTGTCTGGCTCCTGCGGGCTCCATGTCCAGGAAATCCCGCCGAGCTCCCTAATCCAGGGAGGTTACTATTACATGCTCAGCCGGCCAGGCACCCCACTCCCAAGGAACCACCTAATGAAAGCCTCATGTGTCAACTTCAGTTGCACAGACACACTCAGGCTATTCCAGCTGGGCCTCATGCCGAAGATATGACCTCACCGTCGGGCAAACCAATAGGGACCCCAGAAAGAGCAGATCGGTGTGTGGGCCAGACCTGCTCCTAATCACAGCCAGCTGGGATGGATGGAGGCACCACCACCTCTCCCGCTGCCCCTGGACACCAGGGTCTGTGGGCCCGGGGGCACCGTAATCTTACAGCTAAGAATCACAAGCTCCAGCCCAAACACCCCATTTTAGGGGCAGCACTCCCCTAAAATTTCTGCCATTCCACAAGTTTCATGCTGAAGAATAGCTTAATTCAGTAAGGCCAAATCTCTGTGGAGAACTCCCAGCTACAGAAGCTAGAAAGGAAGGATATAATTAGGACTTTTTTTTTTTTTTAACAGAAGCTCAAAAGATCCATTAAGTGAAAGACACTGAGACACAGTCCATCCGTATCTGGGATGCAGTACCCTAAAAATCCCACTTACCAGCAACACTGACTGAACTCTTAAAAGACACACACTTCAGCCCCAGACTGGGCATCTCTCACTTAGCAATTTTTACACTTTGGCAATTAATAAACCAACCGGGTAGGCAATTCCTTCTACCTACATCACAGCTGTCTTCACGCGTTCGGTATTAAACCTTCTGTAGACAAAAAAGCCAAACCTCAAAGAAGCTGCACTTCAAAAGTAAAGAAATGTGTTTTCACCTGATGGTATCACCATCAGGTGAAGCAGCCAATGACCTCAATTTTTTTTTTTTTAAACTGGAGGTTTTTGTTAAAGGAACTATGAGAAGTTGTCTACAAGAAAATTGCCAAGTCCTTTTAAGTTCTGGTAAATTCTGCCTTTGGCATGGGTAGCTGAGTATGATAAGTTGTAAATAAGTTGGTGGAACTTGGAAGCTCTTAAACTGAATCCTATATGGATGAAGCTTTGCCTGAGTCCTGCTGGGTCCCTTGGACACACAAGATCCCCAAGACCCCAGGGATTCAGGGAAGATGTCCAACAACATAAAAACTCCGGTGAGCTGAAGTCCAATGAGTAAATACACAAAGCACTAGGTTTGACCTTAATGAAGACCCTTCGATTTCATAGGAATAACTCACACACAAAGGACTGACTCATTTTCATTGAATTTTGCTAATTCTATTTGCTTGTAGTCCATTTGACTAGATTTTGCCATAGGAGTTGTGGGCAGAGAATCAAAAGCACAGAATCTTTGTCCCATAAACGGAAGTATAGATTAAGATTTCTATTCTTTTAAGGAGGAAACTTTTTCTGGAAATGTGTCTCAGAAATGATGATGGGGGTCAATAGAAAACAGATTTTGCTACACGATATGTGCTTTGCTCCAGCTTTTCAGAAATATCTAAAGCAAGCAGCTAAATATAAAGCAAGGTCAAATCAGGCCTGCAAAGACACCGGTGAGTCACAATCAATCAGTGGTAAAGACAAGGCTGGGGCTGAACACCCCTGATGAAACATCTCTTTCCTGAACCAGAAAATAAATGCCCACAGCTGCACTTGGTGGTTGATGCTGGAGTTCATTCACCATATGGTCGCCCTTGTTATCATCCTTCCAGCAATTCCAGCAAGATAACAGGAGAAAGCTGTGTCTTCCAATCAGCTGCAGGCCAAGCAAACATCTCCCTACCAGGGTCTCTCCTCCAAGGGACTTCCTGACTATGCCCTGCTTCCTGTTTTTCACTTGTATACTTCATGCTCTACCTGAAAGTCCTAATGCCCACCACTCTGGACCCCTTAGGCCTGGGATCAAGCTGCTCTTTGGAGGGAGAGAGGGTGTGTTGAAAAAAACAAAAATAAGGGTTTTTTTCTTGGATCTTCAGCCAGGGCAAAATCTAAACGTCAGGAGGGTCACAGCTGATTTGGAGCAGCCTCAAGGTTTTGGAGCAGGAAAGAATCTGAAAGAGGTAATGTGTCACTTTCTAGAATTTTTTAAAACACAGTGAAACCCTCTTCCCCAGCAAGGTTGTATACAGAAACCCAGTAAGTAAATCACAGAGCGGAGAAGCTGTTATTATACCCATACAATGGCATATGATTTGGCCATAAAAAAAAACAAAGTACAAATACATGCTAGAATAGGGATAAATCTTGCAAACATTATGCTGAGTAAAAGCAGCCAGTCACAAAGGACCACACAGCGTAGGATTCCATTGATATGAAATGTCTAGAGAGACAGATAGTAGATTAGTGGTTGCCTAGGGCTGGGGGGTACAGAGATGAGAGGGGGCAGCTCAAAGGTAGAGTTTCTTTTTGAAGTGGTGACAGTGCTCTAAAATTGATTATGGTGTTGGGTCCCCAAATCTGTGAATACACTAAAAGCCGATGAATCGCACAGTTTAAATGGGTGAGTTTAGGGGATGTGGATTCTACCTCTGTGAAGCTATTTAAAAGGGAGGGAGGGCAGGTGGTAAGATCTGTCCTGGCTGTTCCGCCGGTCAGCCCGCCTTCCTCACCCTCCTCCCTCGGCGGCCCCAGAACCACCCCTGCAGGCCCCTGGGACTGCATGGAGTGTTGTTTGAAAAACCCTGAGCCAGCCCTCATATGTAAACCAACACATGAAACCAAGCTTTTGGGGTCCAAGTGCAAGACCTTTTAAAACCAAGGTGTCGCCGATGAGCCTTGCTCATCTCAGGGGGCACGCCGTGTACCCCGAGCTCACCGTCCATGTCCAGGCGCTGCATGATGATGGCCAGCTCCACCTCGCTCGGCATGTACCCCAAAGAGCGCATGGCCATTCCCAGCTCCTGCTTGGAGATGAAGCCATTCCCGTCTCGGTCCAGAACCCGAAAGGCCTCTCGAATCTCTAGGGGAAAGCAAAGAAAGTCCGGTGGTCACATGGCTTGGTCTTTTGCATTGAATTTATTGGTGATCCTATACTGAACACTCCTCACTGCTTTACAAATACTAATAGGTCAAAACCCTTTAAGCAGATAAAAGAGTGACCACAAGAGGAACAAAAGGAAAGAAAGGGGGAGGAAAGGGAAAAAAGGCAGAGCAAAGAGCAAAGGAAATGAGAAATAAGGAAAGGAAGGGAAAGGAGAAAAGAAAACCACCCCTGAGCATCCTAAAACAGCACGGTCAGCGCACAATTTGACAGTGGTCCCAGCGGAGACCCATGTTCGCCGAGGACACTTCCTGAGCAGGAGCAAGCAGGTTTCAGCTGTGAGGACAGAGCTGCCCCTTGGGCCCTTCGTCCCCCGGAAAGGAGCACACAGTTCCCCTCTGCAGACTCATATCTCAGCTCCCTGCTGCTGTTGGAGCTGCGCAGAAGGCTTTTTTAACCTAGTAGGAAGATGGGAGTTACGTATCCTGCTGTTTTTATTTCATCCTCTAATTTACAGCTGTTTTGCGGCTATAAACAACCTCAGATCGATAAGAGTGTCATAAAAGCTCAAAAGGCATCTTTAATCACATTCCAGGCCGGCAGTGGATTTGACTCTGCTATCAATAAGGCCATTCCCCTCGGCAGGGGATCACCCATCCTCTGACCTCAACCTGGGTCGTTCTGCATTCTCCCTCCAGAGTCCCCGAGGCCCGTCAGTTCTAGGTTGGCCGAGCATTTCCTAACACATCACACAGCCACAAGACGCGGCGTGGGGAATTCGAGATCAGAGTCTGAAGATGACAGGTTCATCAATGCTATCTGAGCACCAGATGTGGCTAGCTTTGACTTTTCATCAATAAACCCGGTGCAAGCTCAGGTTGCCAACACTCATCATGCTACTCAACAAGTATTGACTGTATGTACCTGAGGAGCAAAGAGTAATTCCCTCGGAGAACCAACAACAATCCGTTGGGCCTCACAGTTCTCCTCCAGAGCCCTACATTCCAGTTGGGAAGGAAGGACAGGAACTCTGGAAACTCATACAAGACACTGGCCCTAACCCATTTACCTACTGCTTCTTGAAATATCTATGTCCCAGTAAACACCTTAAACCACTCCCTGACCCAAACAAGCTTTGTCCCTTCCCATTTGATTTCCTGGGGCTGCTGTGACAAATCACTGCAAACGCTGTAACTTAAAACAACAGAAATGTATTCTCTCACAATCTGGAAGCAAAAGTACGAAATCAGGGTCACTGGCCCAAAATCAAGGTGGGGACAGAGCTGTGCTCTCCTAGGGCAAGAATCTGTCCCTTGCCTCTTCCAGCTTTCGTGGCTGCCGGCATTTCGTGGCTTGTGGCCAGGTCATGCCAGTCTCTGCCTTTGTGGCCACATCGCCTTTTCCTCGTTTGTCTGTGATCTTCCTCCCACTTATAAGGACACTTGTGATGGCATTTAGGACCCACCCAGATAATCCTAGATAAGTTCTCCATCTCAGGACCCTCAACATAATACCTGCAAAAGCCTTTTTTTTCCAAGGAAATATTTACAGTTTCCAAGAATGAGGACCTGATATTTCTGGGGCCCAGTTTTCAGACTGCTGCAGTATCCCATCCAGGGCTCCCACCCAAAACACCTTGCTTTCCTTTACCTGCCTGAATCCTGTCATCCTTCAAGGCTGAGAGTTAGGGACTGTGCAGTCCACAAAAAATGTCTTTGCCCACCCTGGCCAATGTTCTCTCCCTTTCTGCTACAGTTTGGTGGGTCATTCATTCCTTTCACAGGACATCAGCCTGTCCCATCTAAAGATAACGATGATTTGGTGCAGAAATCACAGTCTTTCTTCATCGGCTTCGTTCCTGTTTGTACTCCTACCCACACTCTGAAGGATGGGTTTGAGTAAGGATCACATATTAGTAGCAAATTTGCTATCAATACTAATTTTGCACGCTGCATGCTTTCTGAGACTAAGTGTGGGCTCCAGCAGACAGAAGACCAGGCTGTGAGCCGGGACCCTAGGCTCCTGGCCAGGCGCATTAGCTAATTAGGTCCACGGCCAAACCCTGAGGCCTCGGATTGTTCATGTGTAAAATGAGCTGGGTTGGCCACGAGGATCCCTACAGTCCTTCCAGACTTTTTCTGGGGATCTGTGGACATTGTTAAAGTGTTTAAGAGAAGAACAGGAAGCCTGTGTTCTCTTTCATACCCTATTAATCTACTGTTCAAACACCCCTCTTTTTTCCATTGAGGATAAAGAAAAAAATTTCAGTCTGGTCCAAATTCTGAATCAAGGGGTTTGTCTGCACTTTCAGGCTTTTCTCACCAATGAAACATGCCCAACACTCCCTAAGGCGGCCATATGTTTTCCTACCAAGTCCCAGGTGGCCCGGAAAGAACTTAGAGCCACTGCTCTGCTTGAGGTCAGGGCACACAGCACTCAAGGACAGTGGGGTGGAGACCACAGCCTCCATGACCGGAACCCAGATGCCGAGGGCAGGAGGATGCAGATGCAGGGTCCCCTCAGGTGGGAGTCAGCCCACAAGGAAGTCAGTCTGGCCCTGCCCTGAACCGGGACAGGCTTCTCCCTCCGCCTCCATCTCCCCATCTGAAAAATGGGTGGGGTTAGATCTCCTCCTAGCCTCTATAATAGTTTACTTCGGATCCAGCACATACCATGCAACAGGACAAAATGTCAGCTGATGACGGGGCCCAACCTGGAGTCAAAGAGGCCAGGGTCCCAGGTGGGCCATCCGGATGGTCAGCTGCATGCTGAGCTCCGCCCCTTAGTCTCCTTTCCAGAGGCACATTTCAGCTCCCCATCCCTCTGACTCAATCCTGAGCTCCCCAGCTGTTACGATCACTCTGACTGGACGATCCCTTGTCGACATGGTGACAGGCTCATTCCTGTGAACCCCCTGCATGCCCTAGATCCACAAATGAACAAGCCTGTATCCTTACAGTGGATACTCCAGAGACCTGATCAAGGATCTTCGTGAACTTGGACTGTATGGGCATGCCCCCCGGCCCCCACCTCACTACCTGGGCTACTCCGAGGTCACCTCACCCTTGGGCTGCTGGAAGCAGACGGAGAACATCCTGAAACTGCCCTGCCATGAAGGTACGTGCTCCATTAAGGCTTCAAACTCCCATGGTTTGCTGTCTGCAGTGAGTAGTCAGGCCGGCCCTGCTCAAGCCCAAGACAGCACAGCACAGGTACAGATCAACTCAGAGTTCTGTTTTCTGTGGCCCCAGGTAAGTGGGACAAAGCTGTACTTCCCTGTTTGCCCAGAATTTCTGCTCCTGGCTCCCAGGTAGAGTGTGTACGTGTGTGTGCGCATGCACATGCAAACAGAAGCAGACAAAGCCCCCTAATTTCATTTTCTTTCAGAATAACAGATAGAAGGGGTGCCTGGGTGGCTCAGTGGTTGAGCATCCGCCTTTGGCTCGGGGCGTGATTCCGGGGTCCTCGGGGTCAAGTCCCGCATCAGGCTTCTTGCAAGAAGCCTGCTTCTCCCTCTGCCTGTGTCCCTGCCTCTCTGTGTCTCTCATGAATAAATAAATAAAATCTTAAAAAAAAAAAAAGGCAAAATAACAGAAGGGAAAAAAAAGAAAGAAAAAAACACTAGAAATCCATAATAGGAGCCTCTGGGGATTTAATTTTTCCAGGGTAGGGAAGCCCAGGCAAATAAGAAGCTTATTAGAAGGAAATAGGTCTTGCAGCCGGAGACATGTGATGTGTGCCTCATTTTATTTTTATTTTTAATAGCAGAACAGGGTGTGAGAAATATGCCCATAAAACCAGTGGAGAGACGGAAGCAGGCCGGATCCCCCTGCCTATGGCTATAGGCAGCCTGCTGGCAAGACAGAGGGGCCCTGGCCCCTCTCCACGTCCTTGGGAAGTGGCGACCACAGATCAAGTTTTAGGAACAACCCAGTAATGTGGTGTGCTTTTCACTGGAATTTATTCTCTCTCTGGGCTACAGTCCCCAGTGCTTCAGAGTTACATAAGCATGCTGTGCTTTTGGTCTTTAAGTCAATTTCATGCTCAGATCGGGCACCAGCAAGGCGGTTCCATCACCTCCAAGATTCCTCTGCAGGCTGCAGAAGGGGCAACGGCGATGGTGATGAGAGCCTGCCTAGCTGCCATTTTGTGGAGCATGAAAGGAAGCATCGTGAGACACACCTTCCGACAACAGGAGTCCACACACTGCATATGGAATCTCCCAGAACCAAAGTCTGCATTCCCACAGGGGTCTGCACCTCTCCTCCCTGATGTTCTGGAGCCAAGCAAGGCCTGGACTAGAAATCAAAATGCTCTAGGTTCCCAGGAGATCAACTTCTCACTACACCAGCAAGTGTGTTTTCTTAAAACTATCAAAGCCACCACCGGTACCACCTGCATCCCAACACAGCACCTCCTAAGTTCCATGACACTCCCTGGGGATATTGTCAGTTTGGCCGGGAACAGTGCCAGAGGCAGGGCTCTCATATAGAACAGGCTTGTCGGGCAGGCCGCTCAGTAAAGGGCGCATCAGATGAAAACCAGACACCAGACACCAGCCAGAGTCAATATTCTTTGCCTAATGTTCTGGCCTTAAAGAATAGTCTGAAACTCACAGTGCTAATTTGCAAACTCCAATCGGTAATGAGGAACAACAGCCTTTCCTATATCAACCCCATTAGATGCGGAATCTGTTTAGTCTCTAAAGAGATGTGTCTTTAGGAAGAATGTGGGTTCTAAGCACAAGAAGCAATGGCTCTATTAACGAGCAAGATGTGTTCTGTTGATACATGTCTTTGAGAAATGGTGGAACTGGAGACATGCAGTTCAGCAAGGCAATTATTGAATACCAACAGAAGTGCACCAGAAAATACAAGATAAGAACCTCCAGATTTTTATTTAGAAGAATTAAGAGGACAGGGACTGAGTCAATGACCAAAGAGATCTAGAAGGACCTCTGCCTTCTCTGTGAAAGACGA